TGGGGTGCGGCGGGCAGGGAGCCTGCAAGCATCAGTCCCCATAGTAGGTCGGCAGGACGAGCTTCAGCTCTTCCCCCTGCCATTGCAAGAAGATGTAGTCACTCTGACCAACAGCCAACCTCATTTCCCTCCTTCCACTGGTCTCCCTAAAAGGCTTTTATTCCCCTCTTCCTTTCAGTCTTTCACACCTCACCCCTTCTGTGCTCCCCAGTTCCCTGCCTCCCCTCCCATCCCACTCCAGTCTTGTTCTTTACATTTCAGTCACAGCATTGTTGCCGCTGGAGGATTTATAAAGCCTGTGCTCTGCAGTTTATTTGCTCTCCTGGATGTCCTGAAAGGTAAGAAACTCCAGTAAAGCAAGGCAAAAGGCCAGAGTCAGAAGGAGAATCAGATCTGCAGGCACAGAGTAACCATCTGCAAACCCCAAACAAGTTGCTTATTTAATTTGTTTTATTTTCACCAGTCTTTTTTCCTTTTCTTCTCTCATTTATTGTCTCTTTTCTTCATGTTCTCTTCCCCCCACTTTAACCCCATGTTCCTTATTCTTTTTTTCTCAGTTTTCTCACATCTGCTTTCCAGTTTTTCTGGCGTTTTGCCGGTGAGGAAGTCTTTCAGGGTGTAACCCCCTTCCATTGGGCAAAAATAAGGTATTTGCAGCACAAATGTCACTGCTGACACAGCCACAGCCTATGCCCCTGAGAAGTGCTGAGGACTTTCTTTCCAGAGCAGTGACACACACCAAGAAAGCAAAATGCCCTTTGCTCACCTTGCCCTGCCTGGACTGCAGCAGAGACACCGCTGCGTTCCCAGCTGTAGTTAACCTTGTCCAGCTCCACCCCTGTCAGCAATCCTTAGGAGCTGTAATGTAGATCAGTGCCCTGTTAGTGCCCCTATTTTTAGGACTGTGGGTCTGGTTTGTGGTTGTTTCATTCCCACCACTTGCTCAGAGTAGCACAGGTTGGACAAGGGGAGAGGAGCTGCAGAGGGAAAGGTAAATGTGGTATTAACCCTCCCAGGGATAGTCTGGAGTTGTTAGGAAGCTCTTCCACCCACAGTGTCTATTAGAGCAGTTGCAGGACTGCTCTACACTATCATTCAACTCTCCGTGTGCCCTGGGAAGGCTTTTTGGCCAGTAGCCCACTGCCACCTTCCCACCTTCCCAGGCAGGCTGCGGTGCCACCCCAGCCCTCTTCCCATAAGGCTTCCCCCGGAGCTGGTGCAGCACCTTGTGGAATTAGTCCCAGCAATGCCAAACCCCGAAGGTGTCCTGCTGTGCTCTGGGCTGTGGGCTGCCCTCCTGGCCCAGTGGAGAGCCCCGAGAGCCAGGGACCAACCCAAGCAGCTTATGGCCACACTGAGGACCTGCCAGGGACCTTGCACCTACCAGACCTTCATCCCACAAGGGATGGTCATATGCTGAGCAAGCTCCATACCATGTTGTCGTGTGGATGGTGGAGATTATTATCCACTATGACTCACAGAATGCAATACGATCGCAATACTGTCACTTTAGCAAACAGAGTGTTGTCACACCCCACAGCAAATAATAGGTAAGAAACTGAGCCCCAAGAAGGGCTGGTAACAAATGCTTCCTCCCAAGTCTGTTCTGTGTGCATCTACATGTGATTTGAGATTTGTAAAGTCATATTCGTATGTGTAGATTATATATAACTCTGCATACTTATATGGTGGTTTCTTATGGCATTGACTGTTGCACCATGTTAAATACATTTTGTTTTGGTTTGATGGCTCCGTTCTGATGTGCTGTATTCATTTCAACTCCAGAAATAGAAGCATTGGCAATACCTGGCTAACCTGCTACAAATGATGGCACCATCAGAAAGGTTGTTTAAATTTGTATGAGTTGATCTTTTTTTAATATAAACACTTTATGTATGATGTATGTGACATTTTTGTTCTGACAGCTTGGCATTTATCGCCGAAGATAGATAACACATATGATGTGTTATTTTAGCACCTCTTAAAAAAGAATAACCATCCCAGACATGTGGAGGAACCAGGTTTGGGCTCGGGGTAATGATTATGTTTGGGCTGGCGCCAAACTGGATAACATTGAAACTTAGAGAAAAAGCCAAACTTAGATCCACCCTACAGTGACCCAGTCCTAGTTCCCCATCTCCACCATGCCACCTACCACCTGCAGGCAGGGCTGGAGAGTTTGGGAACTAGGCGGGGATCAGGCCTGTACTCAAAGCTCAGACTCATGCCTGATTTACTTGCATTCTGAAGACAAAGTAAAGGCAATCCTTTAATATGGTTCCCTGTCCTTATCTTCACTCACACAGAAAGTTAAAACCAGCACATATGGAAGATGTAAGAGCTGGAGGAGGATGAAACTTCACGAAACAGAGAGGCTGGAATATTTCAACACGGTTTCTTACTGAAGGAGGTGGTAGGGAGGAAAACAAGAAAGGAGAAAGGAAGATTTGGTAGAATAATATCAATTAAAAGAGAACAGAGTTCAGCTGCAGCTACGATATTTCCCAAATGAACAGCATAACTCAGTTATGGCAAGCTTAGCCCAGACACAGGCAGGAAGAGTTTCAGTCATCTTGTGAGCTGCAGCAGCCACCCGTGGCTTCAAATACCACATCCAAGGTCTTGGCATGGCCAGTTTGGTTCCATATATATTTCAGAATGGAGAGTTATATTTGGGTCCTCAGAAGTGGCCACGTTAAACAGTATTATTTTCTGACGTGAACAAGCTCTGGTGATCCCATTATTATGATGGGCTGGGCAGAGAATGGAGATAGTTTATGCCCAGTTTAACCTTTAGAGTGTCCTCAAAAGGCAATGTAATACCCAGCAGCTCTCAAGCTGTATCCTTGGCAGGGTTTGGAAAGCACAGAGGGTTTCTGCTTCCTCATTCCCTGTGTTCTGGCCCAACTTTGGGGCACTTATTTGAGAAGTCATCAGTCAGGTGCAAAAGCCCTCACACACACAAAGCTCCCTCCTGTCACTTGCTGTAGCCTCTGGTGGTGACTGAAAAGCTGGGAGCAGCTCCTGTTCTGGCCTGGGGCTGAATACACTGGTTTCAACAAATCACCTGCTCAGGAGACACCTGAGCAGCCATCCTGGGCCTCCTACACCATAGAGCAGAGCTACTCCTGCAGCCCTTGAATGCCACTTCATTGTCACTCTTGCCATTGCCACGGTTGCCTGATGCAGGATGAGGGATCTGTCCACTAGCAATGGTGGGGATAACGCTGCTCTTCACATCCAGAGGGTGGAGCAGACAAGTGCAAACCAGGCAGCTCTATGGAAAATGCCTTGCACAAAACACAGGGATTTTGTATCCAATAGCAGACCGACTACTTCAACAATGGAGCAGTGGCACGTGCCAGCAGCTTCTGCTCAATTTCCAGGGCTATGGCTTCTCATGTGGAAATAGGTGGTTTGAGGTATTTTCTCACTGGGTTAACCCATCCTTGTCCTGTTGGGTCTCATAATTAGAAGAGGCTGAACAGCAGAGAAAGGTGAAGATGCCCAGCAAATATTTCTCTCCTGCCTTCTCTCTTGCCTCTCTCCCTCTCTTCCTTTCTTCCTTTTCTGTTCTTCAGAAGTCTCCCAGGACTGGGAATTCACCTCTTGACTGTTGTGCAGCTCTTCATGCATTTTCTAGAACATGCCTATGCAGGCCAACAAGTCTGGTGAGATGTGACAACACACTATTGCGACAGGAGAAGTAAGGAAAGGACATAAGGAAGGCACCAGCTTATTTATAAGCCACTGTGCTGTGTCCTGTGCATATGAGCAGCGAGCAGTGCCACCAGTGTTATGGCCTGTAGAACAAAGCCACGTTGCTTAATTCAGTGGCACAAGAGGTCAGGAAAGCTTATTTTTGTTCAGTTCCTGAAAGCATCTCAGCTTCACCAGCTCCTTTGGATTCTGCACGGTACTGTTGCACTCCTCTCTAAGTTTTCCCACAGCAGTTTGCACTCCAACTGGCAGCGCATGCAGGATTTCAGTCCAATTTTCATATGGCTCTTCCTGCCTATCACTGTTAACACAAAGCCCTTTTCAGAAGTGCCGAAGCCAGATCCCCTGCTGAGGAAAATTCCCTTTGGTCTCCTGCTTCCAGCAAAGCTTTGCTGTCTCACAGTAGCCCCGAGCCTGGCCTGTGCTGCGCTACAACTTTCTATTAGGTGCTCCTCTTTGCACATAAATGCTCCCTTCCCTTTTTCCTTTGCCTTCTCAAAGCCTTTGGGAGTATCACCTATGGCATTTGGATGAAGGTAGATTTGGTTATGGTAGAAGCATGCTCCAGGCGTGCAGCATGGAGCCAATCAAGCCTCCCTGGGGCTGCCTCCCCCACTGGGGCTGGCCAAGAGGCAGCACTTGCCTGTGCCTCCTGATTCCTGCTTGTACACCGGAGCATTCCCCGAGCCCACAGGGCCAAGGTATTGGTGTCAGCTTCTGTAATTGTAAGGCTGGCAGAAATGCTTAGAAGGAAAATGCCATAGAAACACAGCGTTATTCTAATGGACATTCTTTGGTTTTTCTCATGAAACAACTAAAATCTGCAGAAGTAACTACTTTGTAGAAGGTGCTATAGCCATGAGTAAGTGCCAATGGGTATATATGGATACGTGGGGGAGAGGGAGCAGTGAAAGCAAGTGTACGTGAGGCTTTAGCAAACACCAGCGCGGAACCTCTCAGCCCAGGAGCCGTCGTGATCCTGGCAAGAGGCATGTCACGATTTCCTGTCCCCAAGAGCACCGAGGCTTCTTGCAAGCTCCTGGGTGGATGGCTTCCCAGTGCGTCCCACTCCCAGCTACCTCACTGAGGCCGGAGGCACTGGAGTGGGACTGACATCTCCATTCCAGTAATGAAATCTTCTTGGCATTGCTCCAGTCCCCTAGGAATTCCTATCAGAAGTGCAAACAGGAGAGGGAGGGGGAGATCAGAGCTTG